CAGCAGGAAGCCAAATCCAAGGCACACATCACTACTGCAAAATCATGTCTGACTTATTTCCATTTCAGACATTTACCTATTTCTGAGAGATGGATACAGGGGGTATCAGCCCTGTCTGTCAAAGAGCTTCAGCCATTTGGACACACCTTCACACAGTGGGCACTTCATAGCAAGGCTGCTGTTCAGACCCCTCTGGTGCCCAGTGAAATACCAGTAACTGCACAGTGGTAATGGCTCCTTTCCCTGTGCCAGTCTGTGTGGTTTTATAATACAGAGAAGAATCTCAGGCTGCCAGAGGCCTTTTTGTTTCTCTGTATAGTTTCCCCGTTGCCTTTTTACAACACATTTCATACCCTTAATTTTCATACAGCACTGCATGGTGTCCTGATGGCAACACTATTTTGCTATTAACTTAATGGCTCTTCAGAAAGCCCCACTTTGATTCTCTGTACAAAGACACGGGAGTCCAGAACAAGGAAGAGGGTTTTATGTTGTCATTTTGATTTGGTTTTCTTGATTTTTTTTTTGTGGTGGTGGTGTTTTTTGTTTTTGTTTTTTTTACTTACATGCGAGGAGATCTAAGACCCAAGTGTAGTTTTGCTCAGAAGCATAGTTGGAAAGTGTGGCAAAGGGCCAAGAGATGGATTGTGTGGACTGTGAAGGTTCAGAGTGATCGAAATAGCATTAAAATAGGGATGTGATAGCTGACTGGTGGCCTTAGAGCAATGTAAGGCAGCAAATAATGCATCCTGCATAACGTGCAAGTGTAGCAAGGTATCTGCCAGAGTAATTATGACCCAGGCACGATCGCACAGGCATCACTGAGTGCAGCTCACTGCAGAATTAACTTCATTCTGACTCTGGCAGCAGTGTCATTAGCAGTTCACCAGCAGTGTTTTAAGGGTGTGCAACCTGGGATGCACGTCTTCATCTCTGTGTCACCAGTTTGGAATGAAATAAGCCCTTTCAGATTGACAGAATCCTTTGTGAACGCGGAGTTTGTCAGGCTTTTTACATCATTGTTTGTACTAAATCTCCAGATCTTTTCTCTACATCTGCTTGTGGAACAATCATGGTTTCAGTTGGTATGAATAAACTACTTAGAGGTAGCGCAAAAATTGCTTTCTGTCCTCTTGAAGAGTAAGGTAGGGGGGGAGAAAAAAAAACCTCATCTTCTATTCAGTATCATCCCAGGCTGTGATTCCAAATTGGGGGATGCTCAGCGAGGGAAGGGCTTTGGCTTTATCATCTTTTGGGGCCTGTACAGTGCTTGCAGTGTAATAATGGTCCTTTTTAAGTGTTAATGTGAATATCCCTAAATATCATTTAGTAGAAGAGCAAAGCTGTACCTATCAGAAAGGAGAATACTTGGTACTGTGCTGCCTGAGAGAGCATACAGCTGCCCAGGGATTAGCTGGCTCTTGTTTGCTTTAACTCATTAGCTGCAGGATCTTTGTTCAAAATTCAGTTCTCGAGTGGATGCATGGTGGGGGTTTGTCTCCTCTCCCAAGTAACAAAAGGAAGCAGCCTCCAATTGCACCAGGGGAGGTTCAGGTTGGACATCGGGAAGAATTTCTTCCCTAAAAGGGTTGTCAGGCCCTGTCCCAGGCTGCCCAGGGCAGTGGTGGAGTCCCCATCCCTGGAGGGGTTTAAAGGCTGAGTAGATGTGGTGCTGAGGGACATGGGGCAGTGGGGACCGGGCAGTGCTGGGGGGATGATTGGACTTGGTGATCTTAAACGTCTCTTCCAACCAAAACGAGTCTATGCGTGCATGGGTTATTTGGATAATATTTCCAACATGTTTCAGAGTAAGGATGTTTGGGAGATATCGACACGATACTCTCCCTCAATGTTTAACCACAGTTGTTATTAAGAACTGTGACATTTTGGTGATTCAGATGTTCCTGTAGCCAACTGCTTGTGTGCTTCCTTGGTGAGGGAGAGTTTCACACAAACATTACTGCATTTACAAACAGACATGGCATCACTGCTGAAATTACCAGACAGGTTATCTGTTAGGCTAATTCTGGTTGGTTTTTTTCCTTCTATGTGCTCTTTTGCTTACTGTGACTTGGCTGAGGCAGAGATGTCTAAATTTACTCCACTTTCCCCCCAGGCAGCCAGCTAAACTCCAGACTAGCAGTGACTCTGAACCTGAGCCGTTCGATGAGCAGCTCCCCGTTAGCTACTTCCTGTTCCATGAGAAGCCTTTCCCAGGCACTCCCTGAGCTGCTGTAGTGTAACCTATTCTCCTTTTCCAGGTGAGAAGCCACACAGGTGCCATTTGTGTCCCTTTGCTTCAGCCTACGAGCGTCACCTGGAGGCTCACATGCGGTCCCACACGGGTGAGAAGCCCTACAAGTGTGAGCTCTGTTCCTTCCGCTGCAGTGACAGGAGCAACTTGTCCCACCACCGCCGGCGCAAGCACAAAATGGTGCCTATCAAGGGTACGAGGTCTTCCCTGAGCAGCAAGAAAATGTGGGGGGTTTTGCAGAAGAAGACCAGCAATTTGGGGTACAGCAGAAGAGCGTTAATTAATTTGAGTCCGCCTTCCATGGTGGTTCAAAAACCAGACTACCTTAATGATTTCAGTCATGAGATCCCAAATATCCAGACTGAAGCTTATGAGAGCATGACAAAAACAACCCAGAGCAGTGGGTTGCCAAGAGATCCACAAGACCTTATGGTAGATAACCCTTTAAACCAGCTCTCTACGTTAGCAGGACAGTTATCTAGCTTGCCACCTGAAAACCAAAACCCAGCCTCTCCTGATGTCGTTTCCTGTCAAGACGAGAAGCCTTTCATGATACAGCAGCCTGCTGCAGCTGCCGTGGTGTCTGCTGTGTCAGCGAATATTCCTCAGAGCTCATCTCCCACCAGCCCAGACCCTCGGCCTGCCCACACCCAGAGGAACTACAGCCCCGTGGCGGGTCCCAGCAGCGACCGCAGTGCCCACACCAGTACTCCCAGCATCAGTAACAGCCAGCCGAGCACCCCAGCTCCCACCCTGCCCGTGCAGGACCCGCAGCTGCTGCATCACTGCCAACACTGTGACATGTACTTTGCGGACAACATCCTTTACACCATTCACATGGGGTGTCACGGATTTGAAAACCCTTTCCAGTGCAACATCTGTGGGTGTAAGTGTAAAAATAAGTATGACTTTGCCTGCCATTTTGCAAGAGGCCAACATAGTCAACATTGACTGCAAACGTGCTTTCGTTTAGTTTTTTAACATATTACAGTATATTTTTCATACCTGCTGAAGGAAAGCTTGCACATTCCCATAAGGAATCTTCACATGAATTGATTTGACATAGGAGGCAAACTTATTTCTATGTTGTTGTAAAACTTGCCAGGGAAATTTTGTCTAGGATGTGGTGGTTGTTTTATATGTAGCCTTTCAGAAAAGCTGAGAGTGGTATAAGGATTGGAACTCATTTACATGCTTTGGTTGCTAAATTTCAGTTGCTTGCACTTAATCCCAATAAACGTTCTACGAACATAGGAGCAGAGCCTGTGTCCTGAAACACAGGCTGCAATTACCAGACTGTTTACTAGGCAAGACAAAACACTTTGCTCAGCCTGCTCTGGTGGGAGGTGTCCTGCTCATGGCAGGGGAGTGGGAACTGGATGGTCTTTAAGTTCCCTTCCAACCCAACCCGTTCTATGATTCTGTGATATTAACCATGAATACGAAAGGTTAATGATATGTAATGTAGTTACTTTGGAGACATCCAAAACTTAGCTACTCCAAACTGGAAAAAGAAATAGAAGCAACTTTCACATACAAATTCAATTTGATGTAAAACTTGCTGTAATCTGATGAAGGTTAATAAGTTTTTGCTTAGTATAGTCATATAGGACTCAAACACTAATTTAAGTATTGTTTTTAAAACTCATTAGCAAACTGGAAAATAACAGGTTATTGTGAATGAAACTCTGGTAGAAAAAGAGCTAAAAAGTTTGTTGTTCACTAGTTATACAAAGGAAAAATTAAATATGCCGCCTTATTTTAAACTACTCTTATCAAAATTTGACATCATTCTTTTTAAAAGGAGCTACTTTTTGAACAGTCATAATAAAAACCTTGTGAAACTAATATATATTCAGTGAGATTTTTAACTGCCTTAAAGTAATTTGTACAGACAGTGAAAATTTGCACAGTTAGACTTCTGTCTTGTTGACAGAGGTTCTAATAGAAACAAACAAGAGGTTTACAAATTAAAAAAAAACCACACATTAGCTCAGTTTTTATCTCGGGCCAAGCTCCAACTGATTGGTTGCCTGTATGTTTGGAAGTTGTAGAATCTAGTGTACTGTAAACTTCAGCTAACTTGAAGTCAATTTGTGTCCCCTTCCCCAGATTTATTCTCATTTTGGTGTGCTAGAAATAAGGGGAAGGGCTTCTGGGTTGCCTGAATTCTTCCTGCATTGAGCAAAGGAATACTGGCTGACCAGGTGTGAAGTCATTGAAAGGATTTTAGGTGGCAAATGGTAACTGAAGATGTACATGAAGTCCATTGCACATGTTTATTATTTTGTTTCTTATGCTGTACAACTTATTTTAGAAGCACCTAGGCTAACGGACAGGCACTTTAATATAAACCTAAATAAAACACCCTAACAAAATCAATAAAAGCTCTTAATGTGCTACACAGCAATCTGTAATGTTTCCAAAAAGTGAAGAACTGTTACTTTTCCCATGTTTAGATGTGCACTTTTACCTTGGTTTGTCTTTCTTGAGACAAATGAAAGCTTCCCTCGTATATTCCCCTTTTACTGTCAGCAAACTATGGCAGCAAATACCTTTTGTTAAAAGCAGGAAGATTCTATGAATGTGTTCTGTGAGTCAGAGGCTGGAATCTGAACAGCAAATGTTTGGCTTATTCAAATTTATATTGTTACAGGAGCTAAAGCTTCCTAAAGCCAGTGGAAAACTGTACAATGACTTCAGAGTAAGAACAACACAGGAGAAACCACCCTTCTGAGAATTGTAGCTGCAGAAGTAATTTGGACTTTAAGAAATTAGAAATTTGGGAAGCAAATATGTTTCTTTCTGCCTAACTTACCTACTGTTGAATTTTACTTAAAATACTTAAGTAGCCAGTGGAAGGAACTGGATTCTTGGCTTCACAGAATCTTGCAGGAATGAGGTGAAAAATACACCACTGAAGTATTTCCAGTGCTCTGAAGATGAATGATAACATGCTATCACTCCTAAAACATGTTCACCTTTGGGCCTTGTTCAAAATCCATTCCTGTGGATTTGTAAAGCAGAATGTAATTTCCATTTTCCATGGGGACACTCTTTATAATTTGAAAATATCTCTTTGTTGCTTTATACTTTTAAAATATTTTATAAGCAGAACTGCAACTCTGTGTGCATAAACATACAAAGTCCTTTATTTTAGGGACTAGTTGACTGAACTGGAATCCAGTTAGAATTTACTGCTCCTGTACAGGTTTTGCAACGTGACTTTTCTAGTCAAAGGCAAATGTAGAAGTGGGAGCTCTCTTTTCATCCCACGTTGACAGAGTCTGAAATCTAAACTTGGCTAAAGCACAACATGAGAACAGCAGATGTTGCTGCTGAGGCCCATTACAATCGTTCCTGCACAGAGGTTGCTCTCTTTGCCTTTTGTTGGATGGTGCAAACTTCTCTTCTGAGGCTCCAGCAGCAATCCCAAGGAAACTTCTGAAATGGTGCCCTGAGGAGCACCTTCCAGTGCTGAATGTTGCTGACCACAACAGCCAGGTTCTCCTTGGTCTGTGGCTCCAGCCTTTCTCCCTCTTGGTATCTAGTAGCGAGATTAACTCCAAGGTCCAAAACGTTTCAGGTTCCATCCTTTAAATTCAGTTTACATGTTTTCTGATCCATTAGGACTTTCATTGGCAGTGCCTGTGAACATTGTAGATTCATTTTGTGTCAGGTAAAGATCTGGTGAATTAGGAAAGTGGTTTCTGAACCATGATGCCCCTGAACCAGATTTTAGGTAGGAGAATAATTAGGTCACTAACAGAGGTAGCTGGCAGCAAGAGGAAACCTGCTTGGCCCTACTGAAAAAGGGTCCCTCATGTAAGAGGGGATCCTCCATTGCAGGAGAATTAATGTTTTCCTTGATAGAACTCGGTATGAAAATCTAACCCCAAGCTTTGCAAATTGTTTAGAAGCTGAACAATCTTAAAAATACTTTCCTACTTTCCTTGAGCCAGCTCCTGTTTGCTGGGGGGGGTTCTTAGGCAGCAGAAGGTTTGGGGTTCATCCATGGTTCCACAGCCAGCTCTGTGGGGTGCATCCCTGCTGACCAGTCCTTCCCAGAGGGTCACCCTCTGGACTAGACTCCTCAATTTATCACATAAAACCATGTTTTCAATTGTGCCAAACAGTACCCGACTCTCACCTATTTCTGGTTCCTGAGTAGGTTTGGGAGGTGTATTTGCATATTCCTTTTTTCTAATTTTGTACATAGTATTTAATTTAAAGACCAGAATTAGTACTGGAAGATTGTTTTAGAGTATGATCCTGACAATTCCCTTGGCACAAGCAAGCCTTACTCAGAGTCTGGGAGAGACACTCAGGAATTGTGGGATCAAGCCCTCAGTTAGCAGGAATTTTCATGTTGAGTTCTCAATGTGCTACACTGCACTAGCTTTTTTTTTTAAAAAAAACAAACAAATCCTTATATTTGAAGGTGGTGATTAGCATTTTAACTTGTATTAACAGGGCAGGTTGGGAATGAGCTGAAACTTTTCCATGGCTTGACTCTGTTAACTTCTGTAGTTGCAAAACATTAACTTTGTGGGTTGCTTTTATTGTAATTAAGATTATTTTACAGATTTGCTGACATTTTTAACATGCACTATTTAAAGTACTCCTAATACAGACTTAGTGATATGGAATATTCCAGTGATCAAGGAACTATCAGACTGAAGATTTTAGTAGATTGTCTTGGTTAATACTTAAACCAACTGTGAAGCAGCTAATATGGAAAAATATTTTTTTCACAGGTACATGTTTGAATGAAGAAGATTTTGGCATCAAATGTTGATTGGCATTTGAACACAAAACTCAGTGCTGGAAGGCACGTTCCAATGGCATTTCCTAAAAATATGATATGTTGCTGTTTGTTTTGTTCTGGAACGTTTGAGGGGAGGGAGGGAGGTTTGCTTGGTTCTTTTTGACGAAGGGAATGTAATTAGAACTCTTCACTGGCAAGTTTTCTATTAATTTAAAGCTTCTTTGAAAATCTACAGCAAATGGATGTTCTGCTGCAGGAAGTCTATCCCCTGCTGAAGCATTTTTCATCGAGCAATCCTTGTGTATGTGCTTCTGAGTACCTGCTTTGTTAAGAATACATATTTCAGTGTAAAAAGCATATTTTGTATGCAGAAATGAAACCTGTTAGAGCTGTAAAATAAATTTTATTGTGTAGTGAATGTTTTCAGATGACAAGGTTAATTCTGAAATAACTATATCTAGTGTAGTTCATGTTGTGAAGCTTTGCTTTTGTAAGATATGAATAAAATAACACTTTGTAATTAAGTCTCATGTTAATTGCCTGTGCTTCAGCACGGTTCAGGTGGAACTGGTGAACTGCTGATGGTGAGCTGTGGTCCAGATCTGGTAAGGAAGGTAAGCTTGGCTTTGGGGTAAGCAAGGAATTTATGGTTGTCTGGTTAATTTGGAAATGCTTAATTAACCAGGACACACTTTTACTCCTTTCCACTGTTAACCTCGCACACTTGGTCATCCTCCAAATTCTTTTGTTTCCTTTTATTTCCTTCTTACCACGTGTGCTTGTGTCTGTTTTTGTCATGGTGAGGTGGTTGCCACAGCACAGGGAACTTCTGTGAGTGTTACAAGTAACTTCAGAAGTTGCACAAAGTTTTAAGTTCCTCTGGACGCTGGAGCGAGTCCTAAATACAACTCTCAAGTTTCTGGTTGTTGGCAGTTGCTGTCAGGGAGACAAGTGGAGAGGCCAAGAGCCACCAGTCTCACTTCTTGTTTTTGTACTTTCCCAGGCAGATATCCTCTGGAAATGCTCAGCCACCCATTGGACAGAGCTGAGCAAGTGACTGTCTAAGCAGCTCCTCAAAACCTCAGCTGGAGGAGGAGGCTCTGAAAAAGCTGATCCAGCTTGAAGCTGGTTCCTCTGTAAGCAGGAAATCGGAGTAATGACTTCTAAGTGTTCTTTCCTCCCAGGCTTTTTCTGTGAAATTTGAATAAAATCTAAGGATAGTTTGTTGCTGGCTTGATGTTCAAAGGCAACCCCAGTATGCTGACTGTGTTTCTCTTCCATAACCCAGGGAGAGGGATGAGAGAAGGCAAGAGCCTCCAGAGGAGGCTGTGTCTCAGGCTTGTGGTTGCTGAAAGAGCACTGCACCTCAAACACTCCAGGCTCTTAAAAAACACCAACGTTCTCTATCTCGTTACTTCAAAATATATTTATTAACCACACTGGTTGCTTCATCTTGGAAGGAAGAAAACACACTGCTGGCAGGGTCAGAATATTGGTCTTGTAGGCAAATTTGGTTTTTCAAGTTCTTTCCTTGCCGCAAGTCTTCCAAAAATTCTGCTTTGAGTTTGTTGAGTTCTTCTGCCAGGCTCTTCATCTCACTTGAGAGCACGTTTTTATCTGAAAGAAAATTAACCCAGAGTTTTTTAACTTCATGCCAAAAGACAAAACACAGACTCGTGACGCGCGTTCTACCGATGACTTTGACCAGGCTTGTGAAGGCAACTGCCTCGGCCACACCTGCAGGGTTGGGACTCCTGGACAATTTACACCAAGGGGATTTCACAGGTCCAGTCCTCTGTTTCCAGCTAGCACCCAGACCGTGCTGCACGTACCTTTTGCATCCTTCATGGCCTGGGAGATGATGCGCCTGCAGGTCTGGTCAGCCTGGTGGATGGCACTGGCTGCACAGATTGCTCGGTCTGCTTCCTATCGGTGACCCAAAGGAAGGAGGAATCGGTGCAGAGATGGGGTTAGACTGTCAGCAGCTTTGGAAATACTCTTTGCAAACAAGGAACACGTTAGCAGCGAGGTGAGCAGCCCAGCATATGCCTGCCCTGGTGAATTCAGAGGTGGGTATGGGCCAGACAGGTCTCAGTGTGCTGTGACAGCTCCAGAATCTTTTTACTTCTACTCTAGAATGTATAGCAGTATTCTTAAAGGAAGCAAAGTGGTTTAACTTAATAGGGTGACAGAAGGACCCATTTTCAAATAGGATTAACTCTTCTGTGTATGCTTTTGTAATCAAGAAATGGAACAGCTATTTCTCCATTTCTGGAATTTTCTCAATTCAGGCATAACTCACTCACTCATTCACCACCATCTGGAAGAGCTGTGGTTGTGAAGATAACCAGCGTTACCTTTTGCTCAGTGTTCTCCTCGTTTTGCTTCACTGGATTTTCCAAAGCAGTGGCCAGGAAACTAATTATCTGCTCACTGAGAACACAAACAAAAGAGTAAACCACAATAATCAAATGGTTTTGCTCAAGAATTTTCTTTCATTTTGTAATGACCCCTCATCACAGAATAAAAAGCAAGTTTTCAGTTAAATTTATAAGACAGTGAAACAATCTTTATACAGCATGTTGGATGAAAAGCAACAAGTAAACCAAATTATTTCCAGTCTTAATGTTTCATAAGATTTACATAATTTTTCAACAGCACTTTAGAAATGCAGTTAGTTCTGAGGTTACCTCTGCAAGGAACGATGGCTGTGAGTTCCCAACACTGACATATCTTTTGTGTACACCTGCCTGGCTTCCAAAAATCACCATATGGGATATTTTTAACCATGTTTGGGTATAGTAAAAATCTCCTGCTCACTCGTTTATGAAAACAGAACTCAGCAAAACCTTCTCATCAATCCAGTAACATACTCATCCTCTGAAGGGCAATCAGCACTTTTCAGAATGAGGCTGTTCTGTTCCCAAGCATTTTTCTTGAGATCGGGCACTTCTATTTTTCTTGCCATTAAACATATTGTCTGGTCAGGTAACGGATGGGTTCTCAGACGATTCCGCTGCAAGCAGCATTCCAGGGGACACTCCAAGAATAACTGGCAGAAGCTCAAGGAATCTAAAAGAATGCAAACAGACAATTTTAAACTGTTCAAGTAAAAACTCTGGAGAGCAACATGCACGAGAAAGGCTTAATGAGGAACTTCTACACTAGTTCTGAGACAGCAGTTCAGATCCACACTAGATCTGAAAAGAGTGAAAGCCTAAAGAGTGCAAACAATTTTACCTGCAGTGCTGCTCCAGTAATAATTTCTGACACCAACATATGTAGAAAAGGCTTTAAGTAGCCTTCCACACTAGATCTGAAAAGAGTGAAAGACTAGAGAGTGCAAACAATTTTACCTTCAGTGCTGCTCCAGTAATAATTTCTGAGACCAACATATGTAAAAAAAGGCTTTAAGTAGCCC